CGAAACTCAGCACTCGCATTCGGCAGCAACCAGCACTTTGAGGTGTGCGATCAGCAGTCGTCGCACATAACGCCTTTTAAACCATTTCAAAATCGAGTTAAGGGGACAAGGACGACTGGACCCAAGCCCACTGGCATTCACCTGTTTGTATGCAAAATGATGTGGCAGTGCCACTGAAAATTGATGGCAGTCACGTAGGTGAGGCAGCACGCGCCAAAGGAAAGCCCCAGCACAGGGGGCAAGCTCAATGGGAATTTCCCTCGTTTTCCGTTTTGTTTTCAGCAATAAAAGTAAAAAGAAAAAAGTAAAAAGTAAAATGCGAGGCGAGGCGAGGCGAGTGGGACAGAGATGCAAATTACATTCGGAGGTGGAAAAGATGTAAGGATGCAAGTGTCATTACAGGAAGAATCAGAGGACATTTCACGCAGCTTAACCGACGCCCTTGGGGATTTTGCTCACCCACCTCGGCTTAATGAAAGTCCTTTGGTCCTCCTTTATTTTGGTAAGACCAGCTTAGGAAGGTGGTCATAAAACAAAATGGGGCGTGGCCCACGCACTTCCCAACTTCCCAACGTCCCAAAATGAGAACAAAATGGAGCCTGGCTGGCAAATGGCTTAGGATTTCAGAGTGTGACCTCCGAATTCCGAAAACGAGGTTCAGCCTGAGCCGATTAAACTTATCGGTCGGCCCAGCTCGAGTTGCACAGCGTGTGGCCAAAGCAAACAGCACTCTGCAATTTTAATTGCGGCCAATAAATTTCACATCCGCCCGGAGGCACGAATGCGCCTTCACACATTTATTAAGTGCTGGGAAACTACGGCACGAATGGCACAAATGGCACGAGCTGCGGTTAACCAGGCCAGAGAAAATCCAACCGAAGCCGGACAGGTTTGACTTGTATCTGTCATCCGTCGGCATTCAATCTCTGCTCTCTCAATCGCAGTGGCATTTGTTATGGTTTCGGTGCGGCTGTTGTTGATTGTCAAACACAAACTGTGGCGCCTCAGAATCTATCTCTCTCTTCACATCCAGCACATGCAGCTGGAACGCTTTTGGGCATATAGTTTTTTTTGCGGACCCATAGGTTGGTAACTAAACCAGACGAATAACAACTACTCTACGTCGTTTTATGTATCTGAATAAATCATGTACCTATCGCTTAGTAATGGCGTGCTATTTTCCCACTATTAAAGTTACGTAAAAATTTGTTAGAAAAAATGAATTTGTGTCAGCTGGCCCTAAAGTATGCAACGAATTTATCTGCTGCCCTTAAAGTGCCGGGTATCCTTTCGTCGCTCAAAGGATTTGGCTGCTGTAAGTGTCAGTTGCAGTTGCAGATGACACAAGCAATTTGCTGTCGCAGTTAATGAAAATTGAAAAGTGTTCGTTCGCATTACGCATACGCCAAGGGGTCCGTGTGTGTGTGGGTGTGTATGTGCTGCATCCTGAATTGGATCGATGATGCATTGTGAGAGTGATGTGGTTGCATAATCGCTGTTCCACATTGCGCGCTGCACTGATCACACAGATACACATGGGAAACTCGCACACACGTACACAATGACACAGCAGGAGCAGCAACAAGCAAACCCATTAGAAGTTGCAACAGTTTTACAGCGCCCCTCACCACCCCGCATGCGTCCTGTTTTTGTGTAGAGTCATTTTTGCGCTCAGAAGCACTCACTAAAACAAATAAACACTTTGCGCATTGTTTCGTTTTGACAAATGCGTGTAATTTACGGAAATGTTGTGTTTGTCCATTCCGCTCTCCTCCCCCCTTGTCCGCCCTATATATAGCAACGTATCTGACTGTACACAGGTATATATCGCCGCGCCTCTTGTTGGCTAAATTGTCTTAGCCATGTTTGCCAAGCTCTTGGACTCCTTAGCCAGACTCTACTCTACGGCAATTAGTTGGAGCTGGGGAAATGCCATGCAGTGGGCGGCCACTACCACATTTACACTTACTATAGATTACAAAGGCAGCAGCGGGCTAGAAAAATATAGGTTAAAACTGAATGTACGCTGGTTTTTGTTTTTTTTTTTTTATCCCAGCGAATCCACTCCGCATAAAAGCAGCGGCAGCAGCAGCAGGGCAGCTCATCAAAGTGGCAATAAAATATGCTTTCATATTGCCAGGGCTCGAATGGGCCATCGTGGACCAATTGAAATGCTTATTACAGGGTGGATGGGGGGCGTATCTGTGTATCTGGCGTATCTGGCATATCGGCGGACTGTGGTTAAGCAGATCAGGCATGGAATCACAAAGGATGCGGCTCCTTTTGTTGGCCAGCGCGCTTTGTTGCGGCCTTAATGAGGAAATTTCCATTGGCCAGCTTGCGCTCGAGCTGGCAATTTACGATACCTTTGTGGTTTCAATCTAGCAATGGGCAACATAATTAAAAATTGTGACAGCCATAAATTTCGTTTTGGGTTTTCTCCGCCGAGACGGCGGATAGCAGATAATTAAAGTGGACGAAAACGACAACAAAAAAAAAATCTGCGAAGAGAAATGAACAAGCTGGCAACTTGTACTTTCCACTGCGGAAAGTAGCTTAAAAAGCCAAGTGAAATCAATTAGGTCGCAATTTATGTCAAACTGAGAAAGGGCGATGTGGGTTTTTGGCTTGGCAGCACTTTAAGCCTTTTTTAGTCCCGGCGAAGGCAGCATTTGATTTCAGTCTGCCAGTGCAGCGGTAGCAGCAGCTGCTGCTGATTGCGCTGCACAGGGCCCACATCACCGACGGCCACGCCCCCATCTACGCCCCTGTCCATTTAGCAGCTGGCTGCGGGCTTTGACGTCCCCTTTTTGGATGGGACTTGGCCTGTTGTAAAGTGTCAAAACGTGTACTTGTCGCTGGCAGGATGTGCTGATGCTGATGGTGATGCCGCTGCTGCTGTTGCAGCTCCTTTAATTTGAATTTTATGCACTGCATGCATAAATTTATGGCCAGTGGACCCGCCTTCAAATGGCGACGACAATGACAAAGGCAACATGACAGGCACATGTCCATTATGGCCAGACTTGGCCCGGCTTGTCCTGCCTTGGCGTCGCCATCCTGGCCATCCGGCTCCCGACATTTAAATGTGCTGGTTGTCGTTCGTCCGGCTGCCACAGACAGCGAAAGTCAAAGGCCACTGAAAAGCGCACTGCCGCCTTCCCAAGAATGGCCGCTCATCTTGGCCATAGTCGGGGTTTGATGCCTATTATATTTTCAATTCCATTTCCGGCATGTGGCCGAGTAAATTGCGTACAAATTAATTACTCATCAAATATGAGCGCTTTGTGCTGTGTGAAAAAATTAATTTTTAATTGCAATCGCTGCGAGTGAATTAATTTGTAGCGGCGAATTCTTCGCAATCACTAAATGGCATTCCAGTGAGTTTCATCCTTTGTTGTCAGACGCGCCAATACATTGATTTTGATATCGCGCTGCGCCATATGGCAGCCTTAATATCCTGCCTGTCAGCTAGTCGCCCAACCACCCACCTTTCGTATGAGTGACCTCGCCCCCTCTTCTGTCGGGCTGTCAAAGTGCTAAAAATAACATGGCGAAAAAAAGGGGTTGGTGGGGCAAAAACAAGCTGGAAAACCTGCCGAAATCAGAAACCGAAAATCGCTCCAAGCGAAGCGAACTGCATCGAGCGCGTTCTGCTGCATTATAAATAGCGCAATTGCATTGAGTGCAATGATTTTTAACTTGTTTTGACATTCTGACATCATAAAATCACGCATCACTTCTGTCTCTCGGAAATTCCGTGCGAAAGCGAAAATGAATTCGAGATATGGCGAGCACCAAGGATTTAATGCCATTGACTGACGTCAGTAAATTTTTGAGGCAGACGCGAAAATAATCAACATTTTCGTGTAATTAAGGCTTATTGAAATTTCAAATTTCATTTTACCCGTTGGCTAACACTTTAAATTATTAACCATGGCCAACGGCCACCTATTGGAAATAACTTTAAATTACTAATAATTTTAAGATACCACTGGTAATAAATAATTTTAAATAAATATTTATTGTGATGCTGCATTGGTTGTATGACTGGCTTTCACAACTAACACAACTGCCATAACATTGGTGTCATGATGAACAGTTTTCTGATTTTTACTCAAAACTACCTGCTAATGATCCCAAACTCACTTTGTGTGGTAAAACGCAAATTAAATGCCTTGCAAAGCTCATCTAATTATGCAACGCTCATGACAGATGGCAACCAAACTGAACTGCCAACAACGCACGATAACAACAAGGATGCAAGGACCACTAGGCTTACTAAACTGTGACCTCATGTCACACGTGGTTTTAATTATTGTTACAGGATGTGTGGATTCATGTGTGGATGTATGTGTGCATGCCTGTGTGTGTGTGCGTGTGCGTGTGTGTGTGTAAGTGCGAGCATTTGAGCCTGTGTGCGTTTGTCCTGGGTGTAATTACATTTTGCGGCATTCGGCAAAGTGTTGATTATTAATTAAAATGGCTTTATTCAACGCCTGGCAGCAGACCCAAATGCGTTGCCCATCAAAGTATCAGTTAAATATTTGGGCATTGCTTCGCCTAAATACTGTGCCCGTAATCATGGCTCCATTACGACATAACGAGGGACTAGCAATGTACACCGAACGATTTTGGGCCACCAAATATGCTTAAGGGATTGGAAATATGTACTGGTTACGGGGTTAGCATTTTAGATTTATTAAATTCAATAGACATTTGCTTGCTGATTGCCATAAATGGGAATCTGATATTTCTGTGTACCTAAGGTTTTCGCTATTCAGCTACCATATCTCTTTTCTCAGTGCATGTAATATGTGTGCATGTGGACAAAACTGAAATCAGAATGTTGGCAAATAGCCGCAGACAAAGTTGCAAACGGAATGCAACGAGTTGCGAGTGTTAATGGCCTGTAATTAAACGGCAACGTGAGACGTTTAAGTGGAAATTGCATTTTGGCTAATGCACTTTCTCCCCCTTTCTCCTTTCATATTTTGCAGAAGGATCTGTTCGTGAGCAAAGTTGAGCCGACGTCGCCGCGAAACGAACGCAAATTCTCCGCTGCCACAGCGCCATCGATGAAAACAAAGTGGCTGAAAGCATTTAAGAGCCTAAAGCCTGCTGGTTCTGGTTCAGCACAACAAGCAGATAGGTGAGTACGGCGCATTTCCCACTACACTCCACCACCCACCGTTTTCCGACTGCCCACCCACCTCCACCTTTTCCCGCTGTTACGCAACTATCGGGCATAGAGCAAGGCCCATTAAGTCGAATACAAACCGCGCCAGAGTGTATCTAGTATCTGCGGCGTGGGTGGGGGCCAAGAAGCCCCCCAGATACAAAATGAAATAGTGCGGCGAATTGCAGAATTGCAGTAGAGGGCGGATAAATCGGGAGCGGGGCCGCCCGCACATTAATATGACTAAAAGCTTGCGGAAAACGCGAAAAATTATTCAGGCATCCAAGGGTAGTGCAGCCGCCCATCCACCCAACCACCCAACCAACCAAACAACCTCCATTCCCATTCGCAATAAAATACATATAGTATTCGGAACGAGTTCCTAATATTTGCACAATCCGGATTATGCAATGCAGTGCAGCAATCGCGCTCGCAATTTACAAGATAATTCCACTCAGGTGCATAAGCCGGGCACTTCACTCTAGTTTAAGTTAAGCTAAGTTATATCTGCCATAATAATGATCTCTCCACTTCTTCTCTATATAAATTTACGTATATACCATCTCCATTCGAACACTAAATGCATTCAATACAATGCTTTGCCCAACCAAAAACCAAATGTCTCGATATACTCGTATATTCGCGAACTATCAGCCAACCACCCCGACAAAATCAAATGTACCACGCCGTATCAACCGTATTGACTTTGAGGTAACCGAAATTCACCAAAGAACCACCACGAAAACGCAATCACCCAGCATAAAGCATAAAGCATAAAGCATTTAGCATTTAGATATAGTCCCATAGAACCCATACACCCTGTACAGACACATATATGCTAAATGCCTACGTATAACCGATCCAAAATCCAAAAGTTCGCTGTAATGTTGCACGCAAATGTAGAATTAGCTGCTTGGATGCCGGCTAATTGGTTTCAAATAACGCATCAACTGCTGCACACGACACAGTATAATTTGGCTATGTTTTGCTGTAAATCGATTTAAATTTCAATTTAGCACATATTCCGAACACACATTTAATTTGTCTTCGGGCGCCGTAAATGCCACCTGCGCCCACTGAAAGTGTCATCAATCACGTGATGGGGCGGCAATCAAGAGGCTGCATGTTGCAGGGGCACAATTGAAATCCATAGCTGTTAGTTTAACTGGCGCAAAGACAATGCACGATCTGGATTTGGTCCAAGTCTGGCAGCAAAAGTTTTGCCCCATTCGATAGCTACGGATAAATGTGTCGCTGTGTCCGTCTGTTCCATATGTTCCGGCCAAGTTTCCGGCTGCGCCCAGTAAATTCCAATCGGCGCCATTCGAGCGTTGAAAAATATGCGAAAAATTGCAAAACTATAAATTCTGCAGCCATTCCGCCTACATGAGTCGGCAACCTACACATGGCGAACTGCAAGCTGCAAACTGCAAACTGAAACTGCGAACGTTGCAACATCCAGTGGCAATAATACTCAGTTCGGTGCCGTGCAGCTTGGCCTGCCAATATGATGATAAATCGGAAAATCTTCTCGGCTTAGTGAATGGGCAAAGGGGTGCTTAAGTGGGCTCTATCTCTTCAAACTTCATTTCGAAATGTTCGCCACTCGCTGGGCATTCACTGGGTGGGCATAAATACCCAGCATAAACAGCAGTCGTACATATACTCGTATATATTTATATATACATTTGCAAACGTGACAAGAAAATCGCAGTTAAAAGTTTGGCTATGTTATATTGCAAAAGTTTTGCCTGAAATTACTGAAAGCCCGAAACTAAGCCACAACCGCCCCACTTTTCCCGCCCCCTGCAAAAAGCGAGCCAGTTACTCATTACGCCATGGTCCTGCCTTTTATGACTTGCCTTCGGTACTTGTTTTTGTATTTGAGCGCATTTATTTGGCCGGCAAATGAAAGTTTTAAGTTGCATACAAACCAACTAATGAATATGTTATGGAAATTATTATAATTAAACCATTACTCATGCTGCCCCTTATGACTAACGTATTTCCGTTTTGTTTTAGCATTTTGCCATAGCTGCACCCAAAATAAAACTACACAAACATATCCAAACGAACAGTATAATCAATTGAAATTAGCCCCAATTAAACTCCAACTATAGATACCCTTAAGTCTACCAATTAATCGTAATTACCCCAGTATAAACCTGTATATTACTGTATTGTACATACCTGTAAATTGTACATGACCGAGATAATCTCACCTCGGGTATTATTTGTTGGCTAAGTCTATCAGTTAGTTAGATCAATATTTAGCCTAAGAACTTACGAATATATTCAATGTCATCGTGTCAGTGTTCATTCGTAGCTGCCAATCGCACAAAGTTGCACTTTCCACCACCACCACCACCACCAGTGCCCAACCAACCAACCGCCTTCCCAATCCGACGTTTTTGTATACTTTACGCATTTGCAACAAACAACTTTATAAATATTGTGGCAATGTGCTCAGCACAATTTATTTGCCAGCCGTCTGTGTGTTCATCTGTGTGCATAAGCCACTTACAAACAATCAACGTCGAGTCCTAGGCCTCTGAGCCTGTATTCTGCCCAGTTCTCAGCAATTGCCCCATTGTGAGTCCTTCTGCTCCTGCCTGCTCTCCACTTCGCCATTTGGGGCTTCGGTTTTTTCCCTGGTAAATAAAACAAAAGTGCCAGAGGGTCAGAGGGACCAGAGCGGCAGAGCAGCAGGAAGTCCTTGCAAATTGGCTGTATCTGTATCTCTCTCGCGCTGTATAAATATGAAACGAATTTGCTGAAATGAATTCGATGTGTATGCACAGTATAAATAACACAATAATTTGCATAAGCACCATGGATTGAGAGATCGGGCCAAGGCACGTGATCACGAGATTGTAAAATACTCGGGGCAGTGATTAATCGACCAATTTCCTGTGAATCCAATTAGGTTGAGTACTGCAAAATCATGTGACTATGTGTGTGTTAATTTTAAATACAATACTTTTTAATGTGTTTCTTGTCCAAACATCCTCACACACACGCAACATCGGTCTGATTAATGTGCATTGTCCATTGTCCGTTGTCCGTTGTCCGTTGTCCATTGTCCAGACTCCATTGTTTATTCGCCATTGTTTGCAGTTGTCACTGTGCACATAGCGTATAGATATACAAAAACATAAAACAGCATAAGAGCAGCCTTCAAATGCAATGTATGTTCATGCGATTTATGAACATATGTTTAGCCATTTGGGCGCTTTTGGCCAACTGCGCAACGGGTTGGCTCCTGGGGAAAGTGCAACATTTGCGACTCCATTAACGGGTACACTCACTAACGCCCCCCGCTTGCATCTCCCTCACAGGCGCAATGGAGCCTCCAGCACAGCCTCCGAGCCGCTGCGTCCCAATCTGGATGGCAGCCACCATCTGCAGGAGTACACCTACAAGAAGATAACGGCCTGCGACGTCTGCTCCCAGATTCTCAGAGGTGGGTATGCGGAAAAGTAGTTAATCCATTTGGTTCACTGGCTAGAAGGTATAAGCAAACAATTGTAACCCTTTTCGCTTGCAGGGCACACACGCCAGGGATTGCGCTGCCGCATCTGCAAGCTGAACGCCCATGGAGATTGCGCCCCCAATCTGCCGCGCTGCCAGCCGAAGCAGAAGCTGCTGCGGCGACAGAAGAGCACCTCGGAGCTGGAGAATCGCGTTGATATCGAGGAAGAAAGTGAGTATCTGGCACGCACCAGCATCACAGCCATGGCCCCAGAAAACAGAAAACAGAAATACATGAACAGCAGCACAGAAGTGCAGAAGTGCAGAGCACAGAAATACACAGAAAAACTCGTACACAGAATCTAGAAAACAAAAACAGGCTAAACCCACATACCTCACATACTAACAAACCGCTTGAGGCCAGCTAACGACTTGCATGGGAAATGCGATGTGCTGGCAAGCGAAATTCCCCAACAATTTGTTCGACTGGCCCTGCCCGAACTGTGTATGCATCGTGGCATTAGCATGTCCTGCTCCAGGATTCCACCTTGAAAATGGGAGTCCAAGCGAATGCGATTCGTTCCCTACTCTGCTCCACTCCACTTACCTTTATCCTTTGGGCCAGACCGCATCAGCAACATTTTGTTTGTCGCTGGGCAAAAGCACTTATTGATTCGAGCTGGCCAAAAGAGAATGCCGAGTGGGAGTGGCTGGTGTATCAGTTGATTTCACAATGGATTTATGGCACTCGTGGGGCAGCCAGATTGTGGCACTTGTGATTTGTGTCGCAATTCTCCAGACCTCAGCGTGCAAGAACTTTAGCAATTTCCCCGGCTCCTTTGGCCACCAACACTCGGCCAACACACCCTCTCACATGCACAGCAACACACCCAAACGCATTGTAAAGTGTCCTTTGAGTTTCATAGACGTCGACTGACGACGACGACGACGACGACGATGATGATGATGATGATGATGAGGATGATTTCCTGCCCATTGAACTGTAAACAATTGTGAGGAGGAAACTAAAATCTGTTGCATACCTTGCGGGTGCGACGCTGCCATTCACGTAGTTTATCTATCTCAAGCACACAAATTCCAAATTTGCCGACTCTAGACGTTAATGTGATTAAATCAATATGAAATCCTCTTCCCTTCCCCCAAAACAAAAACCACACCAAAACTAAACCATGCGAAACACAAATAGCCTCGCCACAGGAGTCGCTTGTTGCAGCTGCAGCAGATCAGGCGGATGATCCGAGTCCCAATCTGAATATGAATATGAATACGAATACGAATACGAATACGATTACCAATCCGAGCGCAAATCAGTTGAATGTGCCAAATGCGAAGTTCCGTCAAAAGACGCCCTTCATGCATCGCATTGCGCAGCTAGGTATCCAATTGAAAAGTATTATTCGAATTAGTATGTGCCATATACGTACATCCAGCATCAATATCAATATATTAATACTCGTATAGTATGCGCCAGATACTCGATTGAAATGCGCTTGACCTTATGATTTTGTTTCGTACTTTGTGTTTGACTGTTGCGCTTTGACCCACCTAATTAGCGAGATATTCAGCGAATGACAACCAGCTCAAAGTAAATCGAACACACACCCACACACACACGCAGTCAGCACACACACTGATATGCTGAGACCACAAGGGACACACGGTATCCGGAAAATCGCGGACCCTGTTGAACAAAATATAAGAGCTGGGGGACCACTCAACGAAATCAGTTCAAGTAGTGGAGCATGTTATAGCCGCAATACTCAGTAATCAGTTATCAGTAATCAGTAATCAGTATTCAGTAAATATCAAACAGTTCACTAGAAATTGCCCTCACTCCTCATACCGCATACGTGTTGTTGGCTACTTGACTTTGGATCGGTTTTGGGTACCACATCGTAGACATCTGGCTCATCGAGGACATGCCCACCAAGCGGGCCTAGCGTAAAGTAACATCAAGCCTAGCTGATCGTTATTATATGTAAACATACCCACCTATCTCTCCCACACACTCTATATGAATTCAAAAAAGTACCCACAAGATCCCCACATCAAGCTCATCCCCAACTATCGAATTGCCCCTGAAACCACTTGCAATTTGTACTAATGCACTTCAACAATGCATCAACAACATCAACATCATTCCAATCCGACAATTTGAAAACGATATCGAATCGAACCAATCCGAATGACCAAAAAAAAATCTGGCCCTTCATCAACCGTACCAACTTGTCAATGTCAACTCTCCTACTTCGGCACCAAAAAAAAATATAATAATAATAATAAAACCAAATCAATAAAGAAATAACCGAAATCGATCAAATTTACCGCGTGCTGAAACAAGCCGGCGAACTCAAATCCGGGCATCTTGCAGCAGGCGCCGACAAATCCGTCCAGGGCAAGCAAATGGATGGCAGCGTCGCGGGAGGGTCGGCGCTTCCGGTTCCGGTTCTGTCGGAGCGGGAGCTGGGCAGAGCTCCGCCGCCGGAAATACCGATTGTCAGTGTCTCGGAGCTGGCCCTGCAGGAGCAGCAGCAGCAGCAACAGCAGCAGCAGCAGCAGCAACAGCAGCAGCAGCAGCATCAGCTACAGCTACAGCAGCAACATCAGCAGCAGCAGCGCAGTCTGGCATCGGTGGCGCAGGCGGCGGCGGTACGCGCGGGACGAGGTGTACGTCCGCCGCCGGTGGCCATGCCCATTCTGGGCGTCCAGCTGCAGCAACAGGAGCTGCAGCAGCAGCGCGGCGGACTGCCGGTGCCCAGCCAAGACATATCTAGTAGCTCAGGTCCGACAAGTGGCCAAGTTGCCGACCAAGTAGTTTGTGTTGTTCTCTACCTACAATCTCTATCTCTCTATCTGCATTCTTTCGCTCATTTAACATTTTCGCAATTATTTTGAGCATCCTTGGTTGTAGTTTCGGTTTTGGTTTTGGTTTCGGTTTCGGTTACCCACCTCTCCTTTTTGTATGTCTCGCGTCCCGGATCCCGTCTCAGTGCCTCAGCTTAACCATCATCAAGCATACCAAAATCAGCATACCAAAGTAAAAGAATGCCATCGTATTGTCCAAGAACCGAAAGTCACCAGTCATATACAAGTAATGTCGGGCTACCGTTCTCCCATTTTCTGCACCCGAATTGTAGAGCAGATAGTTGTAGTTCATATCTATCCACATTAGTCACACACAATTGCATTCCCTTTGCGAGCATATTTAGATTTGGCCAAACAATTTCAATTTCACTCACATTGCGCTAACCAAATAATTGCTCATACGCCCCATTGCTTCGCCATGAAGTTGCTGGATTTTTTGGCCAGCTTTTAAACACAAACACGCCACACACAGAAACGTAATAGCTAATAACTCACATATAATATACTTATATATGCATTTTGTATATAATTTATTCTAGAGTTGAAATTTGAATTTGAATTTGAATTTGAATCGCTATTGACTGAAGCAGTTGCCGAAATACAGTGTTTTGTAGCTAGCCAACATCAATTATAGCTTACGCAAACACATGTAGCATCTACGTATCATATTTAGTTGAACGTAATTAATTTGTGTATGCTAAACACTTTGTTTTCCTTTAAACATCCTAATTTCCCTAGCCTTCTCTATGCAAATATACAAATACATGCTGAATCGAGCTCAGCCAGCACACAATCAACAACCAGCAGTGTGTGAATGGAGGGGCAAGTGTGTTTGTCTACGCGAATGAGCTTCAATTAAAATACATGGTCTACTTGTTTCCCTTCGTCTCGTCTCGCCACGTCCCGTCTCCATTCGTCTGTTTGCCCCAAGAGCAATCACACGGCAACATGCAACATGACATTGCCTTTTTGTCGCCTACTTAGGGCCACAATTCAGACCGTTCCGCTTTGGCCGCAAAGTGCCCTAAATCTTGGCAAGTGCGCACATAATTAGCGCCACAACTCTTACACTGGCAACTGGGAGCCTGCATCCTGCAACCTGCAACCTGCAACCAGCAAACTGCAATCTGCAGCGTGGAAAGGGCAACTAGCAGCAGGGCAAGTACAGCTGCAACATTCCCTGCGGTGTGTAGTCGCATTATTCCAATTAGGAGTGTGTGAATACAGCACCGAACTGATTGATTGCAGGATGTCTGTTGCGGTTGTTGTTGCTGTTGCACGAGTCCTTGTGGCACTCATCTTGCCTTGACCCTGATTAGATTTAAGTAAATTTCCACTCGAATTCCAAGTGCCTGATTCCAGACTGCGAACACATAAGTCACATATTAGATAAACATACTGATTTACTACGCTTAAAATAAAAACACATATATATCTATATATTCTTTCGTGTTCATATCTTTTTTGCCAATTTTTCGTTCGCTTGCCAAACTCAAATTTACCAACCAATAACCCAACCAACCAACCAACCACATCAAACAAACACACCAAGAACCGCGATACGGCCAGTTCTTTGCCCCCGTATCGAACATGTCCAGCTCGGCGTACATCAGCAATGGCATCGGCATCAACTACTACACGGGCAACAGCCAGCAGGTGGCGTACATGCAACAGGTACCTGCCACGTCCTCCTCCATCTCGGCAGGAGCCTCGCCGGCGCACCAGCAACAGCAGCAGCAGCAGCCGCAACAGCCACAACAATGCGGGAGCAGCACCAGTGGCAGCAGCATCAACTACTCGACCACCGATCCGGGACTCCGGCGGCGTCTGTTCGCCGGAATCCGGCCATTGTCCGTCTTCGGGCGGCTGAGGCAGCAGCGATCATCGCAGCACCGCTCGATCTCATTGCCAGAAAGTAATTACGACACACTGGAGCACATCCGAGGCAGTGGGGACAGCAACAAGCACCACAGATCCGTCCACAATGACACTACCAAGAACCATGGCATGCCGATGATGAAATCTTTCCATCTCCCAGCCAGCACTAGCAGCACCACAACAACAATAACAACAACAACAACAACAATAGCCACACCATCAACATCAACATCAATATCAAGATCATATTTCGGGGTTGCCTCTAATGGCATTATAGACCCCATCATAGCCATGAGTTCTCGTTGGAACAGTACTGCATTTGATTCCCACTCGACATCGATGTTTAGATTGTGTTACCGTGTTCTGTGTATCTTTTTCAATTTATTTCCCGTGTAGTGGGCCACAGAAGTTGTATCTGTCTGTCTGTTCGTCGTTCGTATGTGTGTGTACAAGTGCGTGTTTGTTTTGGCCACCGCCAAAGGATATAGACAGAAGATGGCAAGATGCGTTTTAGTTATTCCAAGTGGCAAGCTCAGTTCCGCCCATTAAAACAATGGTCGGATTAAATGCCAATTAGTCTTAACCCAGTTTACACTTCTGGCAAATGGCTCATTTCCGTTGCAACAGCACCGAAAGCAATTGCAACGCCATCATTTGTATACATGGCCGAGTTCCTTTCGCGCTGAAAGCAGCTCCATCAGCCTTCAGCTCGGCTGGAGTCGAATGGAAACTTGCTCCATGGGATGGGATGGGATGGGTGATGGGATTTTTATCCTCGTGCACTCGTAGAAAGACAGTAATCTGCGGGGAACGTATATAGGTTTTGCAATGTTTTGTTCTTTAATAGTGCCACATAAGTAACTCTGTTCGAATCTTGTAACATCTTATAACATACATAAAAATCTACTTAAAAATAGTTCCAAAAACTATTGTAACTTGTTTAAGTGTAATGCGGCACATCTTAAAAAAAGTAGGTGAATAAAATATATTAAGCAAAAGTTTCCAACATAAATTAAAAGTTGCCAACTTTGTTCAGTAAGTTCCAAGCTGATTTGATCTTAAATAGCCCGTAGTCAAATTTCGCTCTCGCTTATATTTCAGTTATGGGTCCGAGTTTGAGGCTTTGTCATTGCAGTTACAATACGCTTATTGAAGAACAAAACATTTGAGCATTAGAGCTGCCGGTTGCTCTATTTTATTTTCACTGTATCCCGCTCCCGGGACTTTGCACACTGCCACTGTTTGTGCCGCAGCTCCAGTCCAGGACTACTGTTGCCGTGTAAATTACAAGCCATTGTCAACTTTTGTGCAAAAATTCAGCCGCACAACTTGAAGTGGGGTTGGGCGGGAGCAGCAGGGAGCAGGAAGCTGGAAGCTGGAAGTGGAAGCTGCTGCATACAAATGTTGCAGACGGGCCACAAACTTTTTCGCCGAGGCGCGAGTTCATTTGTGCTTAATGTTTGCTGCATTTTTAATGCCACTCGCACAGAGAAAGCGACGCAAGTTTAAAGTCGCGATGCCAACTTTTTTTTGTCTTAGGCCAGAGCTGACTTCTTGTCGATGGGCGGATAGGGCGGATGGGGCGGTTTAGGCGGTTGGGGCGGATGGGAAGGTTGGCTGGGGACCGAGTTTGGGCCCAAGCCGAACATAATTATGCTAAAAATTGTTATGACACACAATCTTTTTGCGCTTCTTATTTTTCTTTCCGTTTTGGGTCTGCCTTTCGTTTGGCCTTCCCCGGATCCCCACAATCCCCATCCTGGATGCCCAGAGCAGTCTCAGAACCAGCCCCAGCCCCATCCCATCCCTGCATGCCTGCCATCTCGTAGTTGCCGGTCCCGACTTCCTTGTGGCAGAAGTTCTAGCGGAGCACTCTGCACTTATTTTGCGAGGATTACGTTTCTGCTCTATTACTTGGGCCAGGGATGCTGGTTATGGTCTTCCTCCGCTCTGTCGGTCTTCTTTTGGGCGTCCTCCGGCTTGTTTTGCTTTGCTTTATGCATGAACGCTGTCTTAATGTTTAATATTTTCTTTCGGGCTTCTTGTCTTCATTTAACTTAATTAGTTTTAATTCACATTTCTCGGCGATTCAGTCAAAGAGCGTTTGCCTTCTCCAGCGAGGCAGTTAATCGATCGAAAAGCTACTAACCCCACCATCAGTAACGAATAACCAGGACTCTAACTACAAGCGAAATATATGGTATACTCGTATACTTGATACAGCTTCAGCGAATCCCAAGTCCGAAACAACGCGACCCTTTGGCGAACCACTGATGCTCCTCAAGAGCACGGACTCCAATCCGGAAGAGTCCAAGGGCAATCGACGAGTGCGCTGAGGACACAGATGAATGTGGATACTGATATACTGATGAGAAGGAGGATGAGGGTGGCGGAGAATTTAACAATTTAATTTAGTACAGTTCTAGCACGATTTATGGTTTAAGTTATTGATTTTATTATACCCTAGACACCTAGCCCAATTGATGTTCTAATTGCAGCACAGTAATTATTATAGAATACTCCACACATAGTTTAATTTACCCCATACCTATATCTATCTATCGTGTATCTTAGTTAATTTCGGTCCTGCGAATGTGCGTGAGCCAGAGAGCAATGTTAAATGTATATTACGATTAAAGTATTAAGTCTTTTCTGATTACACCACAATTATATTCTAAATGTTGTACGAATGTTGTAAATACTGCACCAAGCCCACACGTCAACCACAAACGAATGACTATAATAACACGAATAAAAAGCAAAACGATATCTGGCTTTCCTTCACTACGAGGATAAACACAATCACCCTCATCTGGCACAGGGCGATGGAAACGAGTTTTCTTTGATTTTCTATATATGTACATATATTTGTATAGTCAAAAACCGAATTGGCCAACACGACACGACACACACACTCACACAAGCAGCAGTATCCTTTCGTTGGCTTTTGATTTTTGCGGCAACTGAAACGGGATGACTAGAATGAATACACTGAATCATACCCAAACACTCGCTGTCTCTTCCTGAACGTGCCGAATGTTGCTCTGTTGCAAACTTACAATCTAAATACGAAACAAAATTTCTGAATTGCATTGATTAAGCTGCAAGTGTTCTATCGATGTCCTTGCCAAAGGCCACTAAGTGTTCAACGTCTTTTCAGTTCAGTTTCTAAGTTATTTTGGGTTTTTGTTTAGATTCGTAGACGCCTAGTTTCCAATATGGAGTTACCAAAAGCTTAACAAACGAAATTAAAATCAACAAATTTTTATTCCACATCTTATTGCCATTTTTTTTGCCAACTGTGTATCGTCTGACACACGACAACCAATTTGACCATGTACCAAAACAAAAAATCCAAATCAAAAATCCAAAATCCAAAAAACAACTACAACAACAACAGCACCGCACTCACCGCGCCGCCAAAAGTTGAACTTACGCATGAAATCCCTGAGCCTGGACTCACCAGAATCGTCGGAGCTGCACGGCCAGTTCAGGCGTAGGGCCCAACTGCCGGGCACGGGCGCTTCCACATCAGCCGGCTCCGGGTACTACCATGGTGGGTCCGGAGGCCACCTGGAGCACAGCACTCCGCCGTCGAACAACAGCCGTCTGCACTGTAAGTAGCAACCCAGTAAACGATTCCGGTCCTGTTTGCCGGTCTCGGTTCCGCCGATCCCCGGTTCCCGGTTCCTGGTTCCTGGTTCCCGGTCCCCAAACCGATACCAATACCGATAACGAACCTGATTCCGGACACCGACGTACGCCGCACCACCTACCAATCCAACTTGTCCAGCACCACCACTTACCCATCCACAGCAGGCACCCCAGACGAGTCTCAGTTTTTCCTAAACTAGTCGTATGTATGACACCCACAACTACTACCCATCTTAACAGCTTAACTATACTTGCAACTATACTTACTAAAATTACTTTACCTACAACTATACTTACTAAAATTACTATACTTACTAAAATTACTATGTAAATACGTTGCCGGAGTACAAGTCGAGTAAAGTAAACATTTGTTGAGTAGTTCGATTTCGTTCACCTTTTATCTAGTAGTTAAACGCAGCTTTTAGATACATGCTAACCGTAGACTAAGTAACTTCATCTGCCGACACACATCTTCAATTTCCTAGTTCCCACGCTCCCATCGATCTACCCCCACTTAAACGTATATGTGTATAATTTATCTGTACAATATCTATCTACAATATCTTCTTTTCCATGGGTATTCTTCTGATTTTTCGTTCATCCACTTGCATTCGATTAACCAAACCAAACCAAACCGTAACCATTGAGCCTGTCCTGGAGCAGGGACTAACGCATCCAAAACCATTACAGCACCATCGAGCCCCTCGCATCCGGGCCGCAAGTTGCTGTACGCCACCCGTGGGATGCGTGGTGGCAGCGTCGATCTGCCGGACGAGATGGAGAAGTCGCAGTCCTCGGCCAGCACCTCGCCGTGCCTCTCACCCGTAAGACATCCCCAGGTAGACCCCACTCCACTCCACTCCTCATACCTCATACCACCAAGCCATTGTTCTTGCGTTCATTTCGCCTGATCCGCTCGATTGATTGATTGCACCTTAGCCATGGTATTAACCCAGTCCCAAAACACGCTTCACCTATTTCAAGAAAACCCATCGTCTGTTGCCCACGAATCTGTACGTCATCATCTACAACTTCAAGGCGCGACATGCCGATGAACTGGACCTGAAGGCTGGCTACAAGGTGAGCTAATCATCTCCCAAACGCCATTTACTCCACACACCCACTTCACCAATGAATGGGCGTATGAATAATAAACAAGACGCTTTGTTTAATCCGCTAAGCGGTGTACTTAGCTTGCACAATGGCTGCCAGGGAAAATGGTTAACTAAATCAGACACATACATTCGTGCTAGTATGTTTGTCCAGCGCTCTTTATTCAATATGAAAACGAATAGCGAATAACGAATAACGAACAATGCCGGCGAAAAACTTGTTTATTTGTCATACAATCGAGCATATGGAGGAAGCTCGTTTTCCACTGCGTAAACATGGCGAAACAAACAGTGAATAAGAAGAAATAATAATAGTTACCCACTTTTTGTGTACATTCACTGATTGCGAGTGCCTGCCCGCCGCCGGCAAAGTGTTCAATATTTACAGATTAGCTTTTGTTTGGGCGGCGTCCTTGTTCGCGAGCTGGTTTTTGCATTCCAGCAGGATGGAGTCAAACTTTTGCTTGGTTCCCAGGCCGCCCTGAATTCAATAGGCGGATCGATGGGAGATTTTTCCAGCCGCACTTGTACTTAATAACCGAACGCAAAATATGATGGCTCGAGAATATCTTTATCTTTATAGCTTTCCCGAAACTTAGCACTCGCACTTTCAGATACTTTTTAAGTAGTATCTATTAATGGTATTCTAGTTTGTGAAAGGATACTTATCTTTTCCGGCCGACAACAGCTTTGTTATTGCTGAGACTGTTATACGGCTTATTTGTTTGTTAACTAAGACACTTCTATATTAATAATAAAGGCGGCTTAGTCATCTGCGAAAACGAAATATTAATGCATATGCCATAATGAGCACCAGCTAATATAATTACCTAATTTATTAGCTTCTGGAAGAGCATGCCATATGAAAATATTTTTCGGTAACGTTTTAATCTATTCAAACTTCGTACTTCTGAAAATCAGGTGACTGTCATTGACAATTCAGATCCGGACTGGTGGAAGGGAAAAGTTCTTGGACGAGTTGGCTACTTCCCATCCAAGTACTGCGTGCGTCTCAATGCCAACGAGAAGCCACTGCAGGTGACCCACAACCTCCAGGTGTCGGACAGTGAACGCGGCGAGAATCTCACCCTGCTGAGGGACCAGATTGTCATACAGGTATGACCGATAATCCTAGCTCTTCCTTCCTCCCCTAAATGTAAATGTCATCCATTTACCAAACAAGACCGGCGACGAGGTGAACGGCATGGTGATGATCCGTGCCGCCGAGCACGGGCAGGGCTACTGCCCCATCAAGTATCTGCAGGAGGTGTGACAGCCAGAAGAGGACGAGCCGCCCTCCGACGAGCGGGACAGACCGCACAAGTCGTCCATGCAGACGTCATCGTCGCGAACCGCGGACAAGACCAAGCGTAGGATTAGAATTGTAGTGTCCGAAAACCACAACGTAGCTGCTAGTAGTGTTGCACCTGCACCACCCACAACCGCCTTCAACAACACCACCCATCACCAAATTCCGAGGGAATCCGACATTGAGACGAAGCGGCTGAACATCGACTACGGCGATGAGGGCAGCGCCGATTGGGACAAGGACCGCGAGGTGCTCATCCTGTCTGGGAGACGGAATAAGAACGATAAGAACTGGGAGAACTGGGAGCGCATTCGGGAGCAGAAGCTGGAGAAGATGAAGGGCATTTGCTTTGAGAGCTATCGCCAGTCGAAGCGGGACAAGTTACTTCAAGCTAAGCCGCGACCCAAACAACTGGATTCCACCTGGTACACGGATAACATCTACTCGAACCGCTCCGATGACATGGACGAGGACTACGTGCCGGATTGCTTGAAGTACGGACCTTTTCGCACACTGCGGGACATTCACGAGCTGGACGAGAAGAGTGGGGGTACGGAAGAGCGTCGGGTTGAGGGTGAGGGATCACCCGGCTATGGACTGCATCGTTCCAAGAGCTGCAAAGAGTTCCAGTATCCCAAATCACAGAGCTGGTGCTTCGAGGGCAAAGTTTTTGAATCTGGCGGCGGTGTGGCCAGCGGAAGTGGTAGTTCCAGCGGTGCTCCCCCGCCAACCACCTCCATCCTAAAGAACCGAGCAGGTGTTCCCAAGTCATACTCATTCAGTGCCACCACCAAGACCATGCCGTTTGATATCATCGACTACGAGCTGCCCCCCGTCTCGAATACGCGGCGGGAGAAGAAGGAGGCCCTAAGGCGGAACATGAATGCCCTGTGCAGCAGCAGCCTGGATCGATGTTGCGCCCGGGATCAGTGCACCAGCGCCCGCTGCCTGTTGGAGGACATCTATCCGGGTTCGCGGATGCGGCCAAGGACGGCCGGGGCGGGCAGCAATCGCAATCTGAGTGCGGCGGACTGGCTCTTCGAGGAGCGGGCTGGAAGGCAGAGAACGCCCGCCGCTCCAACGGTGATTTGTTGTTGCTCGGCGGCTGAGGAGTGCTGTTGCCACCGCCAGCGCCAGCAGCAACCACCCCTTCCCGCTCGCCCGAGGTCACGACCCCTCTGTCCCGGCCATCATCCCGCCGCCGAGGAGGAGGAGCACATGCACTGCCGCTATGACACCGACCTGGAGCACTTCATACGCGCCGAGCGCGAGCGCCTCATGCTGCAGGATAAGTTCCTGGACGACGATGAGCGGTATCTGGCCGCTGCTCCGGCTCCGCGCAGTCCTGGCAGACGGTATCCGGCGGGAAACTATCACCGACCGCCGCGCAGCAAGTCCCTGCTGGAGATGCAGCCGCCAACCATTCTGTACGACGAGGATACCTGCTCGGACACCACAGAGATCGATTTGGAGGACTTTAACATTGACCTCGAGAAGTACTGGGAGCAGCTGGACAAGCCACCCAGTCCCATCAACATGGACATGCGGCGCAATATGCACAGCAGTCTCAAGGTGAAGAACGTGAATGTCCGGTGCTACAACAATGGCCAGCCCATCGATCTGCATGACCGCGAGCATGAGCGGCTGATGATCAAGAAGTCGCTGCTCGAGGGGATGCCCTCGCCGCCGCAGCTGGACTCCAGCGAGTCCTCGACCAATGCGGGCGGCTATCCTTTTTTTGACACTGCTCCCGCCATTGCGCCTGCCCCCGCCTTCCACCACCATCCGACCTACGGACAGCCGCAGGGCTATGGCCACAAGGTGTATCCCACGGTGGATACGCTGCCCTCGTACCAGTACAACAACTTTTATCCCGAGCACTGCCATCCGACAGTGGGGAGTGTGCTGACCCAGCAGCCAACGGCTGGCATCCATCATCCATCCGCCGGCGGTCACTCGGCGCTCAGCCTGATCAATAACATATTTTCAATCTACAAGCCCAACAAGTACTCGCCGGAGAACTGCCAGATGAACTACGAAAGCAAGCCGGAACCGTGCAAGAAGATGAATGTGCCCAGTACCCACAGGCCCCTGGGAGCAGCCACGCATCCGTATCCTGCCCACGACTACATGCACTCGTCGATGAAGAGACCGCTGCTGGTGAGCGCCGATCAGCCGCACTTTAAGATCATTCCGGAGAAGACTGGCCTGAAGATCTCGCCTCTGCTGAGCTACGAGGATTACGGCGGAGGTGGAGGTGGAGGTGGCGAGAAGGCCCACCACAGACTGAGTAGCACGGCACGGCCTCTGATGCTTCCGCACTGATGGTGCTGGACCTTTCCGTGGTATGGCAATGGCAATGGCAATGGCAACTATTGTTAGTTGGGCTCCCACCCACCCAACTATTCCCAAAAAAGACTCGCGAGCAGCGAACAGCAACCCAAACGCACAAAAACTGGGTCCAGCCAAGGAAGAAGAACGTACGTTAACAGAAATCCATCGGAGGAGCATCGGGATCAGGAGGTGGCTAGCTAACCAGAATCCTACCCGACACCCTTCACCTTCCACTCCACCAACTCGCCGTCTTCGTCGTCGTCGTCGTCGTCCATCCGCACAATTTGCTTTTGGTTTGGCAGGTCAGGTCAGGTCAGGTGTTCCATCGAAGCATCCTTGACACTCCAGCAACAGAAAACCACTCGAACAACAACAGCAACTACAGCCATACCATTGGAAATCAACAGCACTACAGACAAAGACCACATCAACAGATCTACCAACAGCCACACGCCAGATGGAGGTCAAAGTGCAAGTACTAGTAACGATTTGATCAGCGGATCGATTAGGATAAGCCCACACGGTCCTCACCCTAGACACAGGACACAGGACACAGGCCACAGGCCACAGACAAACACATATGTATACAATCAACGTGCTTTTAATTCGCTTAGAATCGCTATAGAAATCGCGTTGCAGTTCGATTAACCACTAAACAACAGATTCACTAATTTTCGAGCAACTTTTAAGCAATCAAGAGCGTATTCAATAGAACAAAGAATAGATCTAAGAGGGAAGAGTTAAGTATTAAGCTGTTCATATTGCGCGTTTCATATTTCAGTATGCGCATATTGTATACCCTTACTCTCTGTAGAAAGCTAAACGGATTTTATTAGTACTGAAGATTTGGGATAATACATAACATACCTAGACTCGTGAGTGTCAGCGAGACTTATTTTGGCCTCAATACAAGTATATTGCGATAATTTTGAGATGCAAATGAAAACTAAGGCGAACCGTTTTTATTGTCATCAAATTTTTTCTATTTTTTATACCAAATAACTTTGAATCAACTAAACGGGAGGAGTTATTGAAATTGCTATGCTCGATAAGGCTAGAAGCTTTTCCCATAAGTTGCGGCTACTAGGAGCGATTATACGAGGGCATGCCTATGCTATTTATATATATGATTAGGTGCGGTACGGATAGGTGTGCGTTGAGAACTCGATAGAAGCGCTTTTTATAAACTAACTAGATTTGTATCGAAATGTGAAACATTGAATATGATAAACATGAATTGTACTTTTATGATGTATGCGTATCCACTGGCCTTATTTATTGAGAAGTAACCAAACAATGAGCTGAACCCCAACACACACAACCAAACACAAGCAAACACACTCAAACTCGAGAACACAGCGAGCGACAAAGAGATCCCAGAAAAACAACTTGAGAATTACAATTGAATTTTCACTAAGATTCAAGCTTAGGGCTTTGCGTCACTTTTGTTAATTGTTTTTTGGCGTCCAATTTTACATGATAGCTACTGTAGGACTCTAGACAAACAAACCGAAACTATCGAGAGTAGATTAACTATCGAGTATTTTGTAGTGAGTAAGCTAACTAAAACATAAACCAAACCAAATGGAGATAACTTTTTAGCGCGAGACTCCTTGTGCGTGAAGATTTTGAATTTGAATTTATTTTTAACGACTTTTGAATACAAAACGAAACAATGAAGATGACATTTTATCAGAGATCGTTTTTTACCTATTTAACATTTCCTCGAACCACATACAACAACTATTTGCTAAGTGTACCCTATGGCCTATGAGTTAGTTATAAGAAAGTGTTTTCCAAGCCCCGCTTAGACCACAACACTAAATAGAATGGAATAGAGAAGACAGGAGAACAAGGGGGAATTCTGCACAAAACCCAATCTAAGAAATATCCACACACTGCACCCAATTAAGTGTACGATATGCATACGTATCGAGTATTTACGATCACGTCTAGGAATTAAGGAAGAATTGTATTGTATTGTAAAATGAATGGAATCGACGAACACGAAAAACGCCCAAATCTTATGAGTATGTAAGCAAAGCCGAAAACTTGAATTCAAACAGGATAACCGCTCCCGGCGGTCATCTAAACTGCTGAAATTGGCACTTAAGTATTTAGGTATACACACCGCATATGTATGTACAACTTAGTAGAATTTTCGACTAAACTAAACTGAACTTGCAAACGTAGCGCGACATTTGTGCAAGTCAAAGGTCCCCGAGAGCCCATCGATGGGTTCGCTTTTCGAGGGGCCAACTTCACAAGACGACAGCTTCTGGTTTTTAGCGTAAGTTTTGTTTCACATATGTATGTACGATTAGGTGACCAGCATGACGATGCACCTGGCGCACCTGCAGGTAGCTAGCGAATAACATGCATGCATGTAAGCAGCAGTAACTAGAAAATGGAACAATATAATATCAGTGCAACGTAATATATCAGTTAAAATAACAGAGGCAAACAGAACTCCACTCATTTAGCACTACTACCTGCAATTTGAATGTGAAAACAACACAATCCCCTCATCCCCGCCCGCTTCTCCGACGCGACCCCATTAATTTACCTGAATTGCAAATAAAAAGATGTTCAATTCGATGTGAAAAAACAACAACTGTGTTCTGTATTTTTGTGTGGATTGGACTATTTATTCACGCCGCCCCAAAAGTAGGCAGCCAGCTTTACTCTACTCCCTCAGTGCACCGAGGAAAAAGGGGGATGCTTTTGTCCAGCACTTGAGGTCTTCAATAAAAACCATGCATCTGTACCGCAATTTTCTTGATAAATGGTAAATAGCGATTTGAATTTCCAGTTTCTGCTTCAAGTACTGGGAATACATAATAATTTTACTATTCTCATAGTTATATTCAATGTATCCCCACATTTCACGAAGTACATGCTTCACAGCCGCTACTTACACACATTTCTGTTTATTCAGTTTTAAATTTATATCACATTAAAGTTTAAATTAACAGAATTACAAAAGTTAGTCGATTCGTCAGTTAATGCTGCTGCAGCTGCAGTGTTTCCTTTACAATCATCATCATTATTATTATATTTTCAATTATCGGAAGCTAATTGGTTCTGCCGTCTGGCAAAGGCGTCAGCGGCGTTGACAGGACGGCTGGGGATGGTATCTCGTTAATCGTTAGCGTACACATACATAGTCAAACATTTAACATAGAGTCACACTTAAAGCTATCACTAAATTGGTTAAAAGCTAATTGCATCAGAGTCAGTCAGAGAGATGTTGGGACCTTAAGATCTACGTTTTCCAGGTGCTACACCTTCTTGTCAGGCTTACGGGCTAGTTCGTTGGCTGTTCCTGTTGCTGATGTGGCTGATGTTGCTGCGCGGAAGCGCTGGGAGTTGCTCCTGCCAGAGCTGTTGCTGCTGCGGCTGTTGCTGCTGCGGCCGCCGCTGCTGCGGCAGCTGCTGTTGTGCTGGCCGCCGTCGCATCCAGGTTCAGTGTGGTGCTACTGGCTGCCTTTTGGTTGGGAAAGAGCACCGAGTAGGCCGGCGGCGGATCCAGCTCCTCATAGTTGGGCGGCGAGGTGGCTCCCAGGTGGTCCCCGCCACCATTTCCTCCTCCATTGGCAGCGGCCAGCGCCGCCTCCCGCTCGTTGTTGACCGCATGCTGAGATGCAGAGGCTGCAAGGGAACGGATGGATTCAATGTGAGAGCTCAAGCGACAACACAGAACTGGGGATTGGGTTTGGTTTTAGTTGGAATTAGTTGGGTTCGGATTTCGGAAGTGTTAGACACAGTCAGAGCACAGCATGTGAGTCGTAGGTTCGGTTTATGATGTGCGGGGAAGAGAACAATGGGGAAACTCGCATAAATACATCGCCAATTGACAGTGGCTTACTTGGACTAGACTATGGTGCAATTTAACGTACCCCAGAGGCCGCAGATGAGCAGTGCCCCGCCGCACAGGAGCATGCCGAGCATCAGGTAGCCCCACGGGCCGTACTTCGATAGGTCCGAGTGCAGGCCGGAGCGCGTCGAGTTCCTGCGGGTGAAGCCGCTGCCAGCTCCGGTGCCGCCTCCCATTTCAGCCGTATCGTTTTCCGACCTCTGCAGATCCCCCTCCGTGACCAGGCTGGGCCCAATGGAGTTCGGTGAGCCATCGCCTCCGGGCTTCTTCATATCTTTGGTGTGCACTTTGCGCAGCGTGGTCGTCGAGGTGGCCGTCGAGTTGTCCAAACCTCCGGCTCCGTCGCTCCCATTGCGCGGCAGATCCTCCGGTGCCGTTGGAGCATCGTTGGCGAACAGGTTGCGGAACACTTCCAGGGCAAACTGCTCGAAGAGATCCGACTCTAGGCCGGCGGCCAGTTTGCCGGCTCCCGGGCGACGCTGCTTCGAGCACAGCTCGTAGTCCTCATCGCTGTCATACTCGTTGCTGTACGGACAGTGGCGGATCCCGTCGCAGGCCAGCTCCTTGGAGATGCACAAAATGGGCTCATCCCTGGAATCAAATAATAATAAAGAATAATAAATAATAACAAATAATACTTAATACTTAGTTCTGCATAGAAATTCTTTTGCTTTTCTGGTTAACTTTAGTTCAACTGCCTACTTTCAGGCTGCGCATTAAATGCTTCTTAATGTCGTAACTTACAACAATTGAGATACCTTCAAATGTAGGCTGATATCATTTGTTTAATTAAAATAAATTCCAAAGCAGCTTAATCAGTGGAACAGTAACATTTAGCTGCCCGGAACGAACGTAAAGTCTAGTTAGGAATAGACATGTGTAATCCGACTCACCCGATCTTCAAGCACTGGTGCTTGCTGCCATCCTTGCACTGCTCGCCCTTGCCCAGCACAGTGACCATCAGCTTGGAGCGCAGGGCGTGCTGACCATGTTCCCAGACGATCTTGACGCGGCCGTGGAAGAGTCGCACGGGATCCTCCATCTCGGAGGCGGTGTCCTCCAGCTGGCAGGGATCCACTCGCCACTGGGCCGTGTGCGGATCCAGCGAGCTAAACTGTTGCGGGTGAAGGCAAATAGAACCTTTTAATTATGGTGAGCTGGCTAAAAGCGTGGCCTAAGTGCGTATTGAATATTTGCCGCGAAACGTGCGAGCAAACAGTTTACACGATCGAAATGCTAATCGCTTAAATTCTAGCCCCCGGCCACGCCCACGACTCGTTGACGTGACTTGAATGGCCAAGTTCAACAGAACGATCAAAAATCAACGATCAAAACTGCGAATGCAAACACACATAATGCAAAATTAAATATTTACGCTGAAAAAATACGAAGCACAAAAAGCTGCGAAAGCCACGCCAGAAACGATAACTACGCTTCGCCAGAGAATCGAGGTGCTTATAAAAATAAATCCATTAATATCGGCGCCATTTCACGTGCAGAGCGTTGATATTCCATCTACATATGCCTATATGTATAAATACAGATAGTATAGTAAATGGATACGGGTTCAGGCTGCTTTGTACTCTCAGGTTCAACAACTGCGACGACTTTTGTTGGTTGGCAGTGCCCATTGCAAGTGCACTCGTAGTAAACAACAATTAGCCAGGGGAGTGTCCGCATCGAGAACGGTTAAACCAGTTTTCCAATGGATAAACACTAGATTACTCGCTTTTCCAGTCAGCTCATTAGGAAGACGATTCTGCTGTAATCATGCGCCCCATCCATTGGCACATCTCACCTATTCTGCGCTGACGGAACAAAGAAACGCTCTATTCTGGACATGCAAATGTGGACATGCGTCCACTCCCTCGAGTCCCCAACCCATATCCATTGGTTTTCAGTAGCATAGTTTGTTTTTATGGCGACGCCAACTGTCAGTCATTCAGTCAGTCAGTCCAAGTGGACGGATTTATGGCGACGCAACGCATCAGTAACCGAAAGTGTTGCTCTGGGACTGTGGTTTCAATTTCTGTTGCTGTTGCCATTGCTGCTATTGCTGCTGCTGCTGCTGCTGCTGCTTTCCTGGCCAAAAGCTGCAAACGTGTTTCAAATACCTAAAACACCAAACAACCGAAAATAGAGCTACAAAAAAGGCCCAGCAAAATGGTAGAAATTGGCGCGCTTATGCAAATAGCGAAACTTTTCTGGCTTCGAGTGGGAGTTTTGGCGCCGCAGAAAGTGAAACATTCCAACCAGCTGGAGTTCAATGTCAATGAACAATGCCTTAATGGAAAGTTTCCTATTTAATCGAGCGCAGAACACCTTGACAAAGTCAACGATCAGCTGACGAATTACGCTGGGCTTCGCATGAGACCTGCTGGTAATTGGAGACAATTTCAGATGTCAAACTGTCTCATCGGAAAGCCACAAAAAAGTAACAATGTCAATCTAGAACTAAACGTATACGCTCGATAAGTCCGCTTATGAGAACCACTTGTAATGCAGTCTGCCAAACTTAATCTATTTGACAATGGGAATTGGCAGCAATTTAAAAAAAAGTCGTGATATATTCTATGTTTTGTGGAATAAATTTCAGCAAATATAGAAGTGACATAAAGTAATTACCGATGAAGTCATATTAGTTCTGATTTCATTTCTTACACTCTAGGTGTATGAGAATCCTGAGCTGCGGAAAACAACTATATCTACTTGTTCTTGAACCCAGCTATTTGAACTTCTTGATCCGATTCTCACACTTGAGCGCTGCGCATGCGCACCCAAGTGGTATATTTTTAAAGCAGATGAATGCGATCAAAGAAACTGGCAAATAATTCGTGCGGAAGGTGCAGAAAATGGCAAGCTGACACTAATCAGCAGAAAATGCGAAAAAGATTACACTTGGGAAAATAAATTTAGGAGAGAATTACAATCAAAACAGCTACAACAGCGAAACTACCCAGAATATATGCTACGCCGCCAACTATTTTTTCAAGTGTGCCTGATCAGAGGCAACCTTGCCACCACAAATGGGCACTAAGGTGAGTTTACTTACTATGTTCAGAGGGCAGGTGCGTCCCAGAACTCGCGAAGGCGCCGATGAGACGATGACCCTCGTCGAGTTGAGCGGCTCTGAGGACTCCGACATTCCGCCGGACTTGGCAGTGCGCCGGAGCTTGGACGAGTTGTTGCCTCCGGCTGCGGCAGCCATGATGTTCGTGGGCGTACTTCTGGTGGTGGCCGCATCCAGCGGCTGGCCGTGCGGCAATTTGGGCAGGATGAGGCGCACTATGAAGCCATAGTTGGGCGGGGCGCTCAGGATGCGGGAACAGGAGGCGTGCTCCGCGCCATAGAGGCCCGGCTTCAGTTCGATGATGAGACTAGATTCTTTGCCATCGCTCTCGATGAAATGCTCGTGCTGAGCGCTGCATAGTGGCTTGAAAGTTGGATGGGACAGCAGGTCGCCTGTGAAGGGAGAGTTTTGGATGGGATCAGTATATGGAGTAGATGCCTTGGGCTTAAATTGACACGGGTCTGTTAATTTCTACATCAAATGGGCCTGTCTGATGGATGGTCTGCGTTTTGCGGTCGTTTGTAGTCGGAATCCATCATTCCGACTAAGCGCACTGCATGCAGACGAGGTTCGCGAGTTGTCAATCAATAAATAACTCACAGCTTGACAAAAAAATAGCTAATTAAAACAAAAAGAAACCCACAAC